GTTGCAAACAAACCATTAAAAAAAAAAATATTTAAAAGGAGAAGATAATATTTTTGTTCACAATTTGGTAAATGCTCTCGGTTATAAGTTAAGCAAAATACTTATTTCATTATATTAATATATTTACAAACATTAGAAAGCATATTGCATTTTGGGCAAAAGCTTTATTAAAAATTATAATTGCAAATCTAAGTTTTATTTAGTTTAACTTAACTTTATAAAAAAATAACTTAAGACTCTACGGTTATTTTGTGCATACTTTGGGCTAGTTAGACCGGGATCTACAGTTTAACATGGATTCAGAACCACTAACAAACATCTATGCCACTGCCAGGATTCGAATCTGAAAAAGCGTGTGGTACCAAAGACGAAAGCGCTAGCCAATTAGCAATCAGGCAGCTGCAAATCTAAGATATACATGTAATTAACAATCAAAGGCATTATTAAATGCAAAAAAATAATAATAAAATTATTAAATAATTGGAACAACAACGTATATAGAGAAGACTAAACAACGAAATTATCACAAGCAGCTTTTAGTTTTCAATTAATTAAATGCTTATATCTACGTGCACTAAATAAATCTTAAATAACAAAAATACAATTTTTATTTAAAACTTAGTAGTGTTATTATATTTAAAAATTCTTGATGTTATTATCACAGTTGTTTTAAAATTTTAATGCATATCGGAGAACAATGACATTTCAAATAACAATTGACTGTTTTTTATTCATCAAAACTATTTTTTGCAATGCTTTTAAAAATAGCTGTATGGAAGATAAAGATGAAAATATGTTTAAGGAATCTGTTCTAATAAAAAATGGTAACCATGACAACGCATTTCTTTTAGCATCAAATTCGAGTATTTTCAGATCAATTTTAAGCCGAGAATCCAAACAGAACATTTAACTCTGTTGTTTAATGACGTAGATATAGTTTTGTAAAGAAATACAATGGACGTCTAGTCCTAAAAAAAAGGCTTCCTTTTAAAAGGCTTCGTACTACGTCTCCTTTGTGTTTTCATTGCGTCGGCGAATGACGCTAAATATATTTTTAATTTCTTCTTGCTGTAACAAAAAGGTTTACAACAGCAACAACAAAAAATGAAAGACTGTTGAAAAATATTCTTATATATTTAGAACATTTCTTTTGTTTCGAATTTTTTTTTTTTACTTTTAAGTTAAATATCAAAGAAAAAGTACACAAATTAGGAAAGTAAACGCTATCCTTTACTGCCATTTAATAATAGAATATGCCTAGAGCTATATAAATTTCTTCTTTTAATTTAAGTGTATTATATGGCAGTAAAGTTTAAAAATAATATTCTAGAAATATTTTTTTTTTTTTCTCTGAATAAAATACTGCATTGTATTTCGGATTTATGCGCAAACTATGATAGTTGTTTTCAGGATATTTAATAAATGTTTAATAAAATGTAGGAAATTATGAGTACAATTCCGTTAGATATATATAATTGAACTGTTTGTCAGTAGATTTTTACACGCGAACTTCGTATATTTGCAAGTAAGAAACTCAAGTTGTGCTACACGGCAGTTTATGAAAATGTCTTATTTCTCTATTTTTTTACAGCAAAAAAGTGATTATTACGAGAAAAGAACTTAAATTACCGAAAATTAATAAATCACGAGAAAAAATGTTTTTAATGCAGTAAAAGAAAAATATCTGGTTCATTTTCAAAGCAGCAGAGTCAAAAAGAAATATTCTGTGATTTTTATACCATAGAAACAAGTATGACAAAAACATCACCCTCACAAAACCATACATATGATAACAAGTTTCTACAATTGTTTGTGCTGATTTGTATTAGAAAAATGGATCTTAATTCGGAATTACTTTACTACCTACTAAGTATACATAAAATGACCACATATGAGGAAGAAATGTAGCTAACATTGTTTCCTGAAAATAAGATAAAAATTATATAAAAAAAGTTATATTATAGTATGTAATATACAAAAAAAGTATGTTATATGTAAAAAATAAGTATGTTACACATAAAAATGATTCCAGATTATCTGTCTTTGCTTGTGAAAAAATAAATCATAACATTTAACATAATCAAAGTCTCACAAAATGAAAATAATATCACATTCAAATAAATTTAGATCAATCTTTGAAAATTTCATATTAATTTTCAACAACTAAATTTGTGAAAGTATGCTTTTTAAAAGTAAGTTTCTGCCTTCTAAGGAAGAGATAATATTTATGATTGGCATTATCTTTTTCTTAAAAATATATTTACATTTGACCTTTTCAACCTAAATATAAGCAACATGCAATCTTGCACCATATAAAAGATTCAATGCATTTTGTGACTTGATGTCTGCTGGCAGTTTCTTGGCATTTTGTCAAACAAACACCAAACCTTTTCATAATATTTTGAAAACATCACAAAAAGCACTTTTTCCGGCTCATGTAGTTTATCTGTGAAAACAAGAATCTGCTTTTCTTCAACTGCTTATACAAACTGTTATTTTGCTTCGTAATTTATTTAAAAACGCAGAAAATATTTCTAGTTGTCAACGAATCCAAAACCATATGATAGTGGCCAATGAGGTCCGACTTCTGTAAAAGGAACAGTATAAATTATTGTGCTTATTTTTAAGAAGAAAAGCCTTTCCACCCTTGATTCCACCCATTTTATTATAAAAATATCCAGCTTATTGAAATAAATTTCTTCTATTAACAAATGTTTACATTTCTCAATTAAAGAGTTTTTCTTTTTTCTAATTATAAGCGTGGATAGTTTCTATATCAAAATAAAAAATTCAGTACGACAGAGAGTTAATAAATGAATATTGTCGTTGTTTCCGAACGTCAGGCAATCTGATCTAAAACATTTGCCAACAAAAAGGATGCTGTTTCTTATCCCACTTGGTAGACATCTAGACCAAGCCCATGAACCCGTATGAACTGATGGTTGAAGGCAGCTTCTGTTGTGATGGAGCACCGGTAGGTAGAAGTCTGACTGGTCTCCGTGACGCTCTACAGCCATATGAGACCGACTCCTACGGCTTAAAGTGCATTCAGAACCACTACACACATCCGTGGTACCGTCGGGCCTCGAACCCGAAACCTGTGGCATCGAGCGCTAGAGAGTTAGGTACTTGGCCATTCAGACCCAAGAAAATGGTAGACAAAAGGTAAAAAGTTAACAGATTCGGTATCATAAAAGATAAATCACTGGGCCCTTGATCATTGCAATCTCGTTGAGCCTCTAAAATTTCAATCGAATACCTTCAAGAATAGCACATGGAGAGGTTTGCTCCTTTTTCTTTTTTTTCTATGAGCCTAAATGGTGGACTTTCTGGAATACAATTTATAATGTTTTTCCTACGTGAGCAATCAGTACAACTTCGCTTATTGTAGCTCTAACTCGGCTTTGTGGATTCGGTAATCCGATACCCAATACAACAAATCTTTCAGGCCTAAAAAAAATGAATGCGAGCTGCCGTGTATGTTCGTTTAGTAATAAATCTGTTGATAAACTTTATTACAGACTGGTAGGTATGCAAAATTTTACTCTTCCATATTAAGTTTTCAAAAGGAGGGGAAACATCTCCAATATTTAAAAGTGTATGGCAATTCTGAAGTTCGCAAGTATTGTAAAATAACTGTTGACTTTTACAAAAATATAAATTTCTTTTTATACATGAGCGTACTAAAATATTGATATCTTATAACGATATCAATATATATATGGGGGCTCATGAGTCAATATTTCTAAGATATCATTATAAAGATATAATATATCATCATAACTGGCTCAACAGCCTGGTGTGGGCCTTGGCCTTCTTTAAAAGATCCAGCCAGGCTGTTCTCCTCTTGGCCGTGGATCTCCAGTTTTTGATATAATATATAAGATATCAATATCTAAAATATAAATGGGGATAAGATATCAATATCTAAAATATTGATATCGTATCCCTATTTCTGTATCTAAACGTAATTCTCTAGATTGATATTGATGAATTAATGGTGATAATGTTTGTGAATAGGTAATTGCTTCTTACTGTAGTTTAAGCATCGGTAAAAATCAAAAATTCCTATCAGGTTGATTCCCAATTAGTTCTGATGGCCGATGTGAGATATTCTGTTTTAGTTGCTAGAGAAACAGTTTTTAAGAAAGGTGAATGTAGAGTATGCCAGCAGGTATTGAACTCATGTCCTCTTGCAATTTATAATGAGTGCTTTATCAATTTCATGGCTATAAATTAAAAACAAAATTTGAATATTTAATTAGAAAAAAACTTTTTTTTTATTATGGTGAACAATCATCATTATTAAGTCAGTATTGAAAGTCATTTTTCGTTTTTAAAATTTATCTAATGAATAATGGGAAAGATTTTAGCTAATAAACTGTGTTGTATGATATTTAGTTAATATAAGTTGAATAGATATGAATTTCGCAAAAATAAAATGAAAACACAAAATAAGAAAATTTAAAAAAATACTAAGCATAAAATGTATTTTTTAAGATGGCAGGAACTGTTATTTTTTTATCATTTCCTTTCATTATAAAATCTTAGATTAAGGATGTTCAAATTAAAGAACTTTTCAATTAAATGGTCAGTTGCAGTGACATTCCTTTTCAATCATTCATATTTTTGATATTGTTGAATAATTTCAAAAATAAAGATTCTATTCCTTCAAGCAAAATAATATATATATGAGAATTTTTTTTTTTCTTAATTTAGCTGTTATCCAACTATTTATGTCAATGTTATTATCCATCAAATACTTCACATTTGATATAAATATTTGTAAATTATGTAGTTGAAATATTTATGATAGTACATCATTAGAAATTTAAAAAAAATCACCCCAATTTGTATTGACATCATTTGACATAGAATCATTAACTTTTGTCATAAGAAATATCAGTCATTATATTATAAAAACGTCATCTTATATTTTTGTCATAAGAAATTAAATATTTAGACTTTATCTTTACTTTTTAGTACATGTAAATATGCCAACGGCCATACCATGCTGAATATACACCGAAGTCAAGCATCATTGGGCGCGGTCAGTAGTTGGGTGGGTGACCACCTGGGAACACCGCGTGCCGTTGGCAAATTTGGGACCTGAATGGCCGAGTGTCTAGCGCTCTGGCGCTCGGTGCCGCAGGTTTCGGGTTCGAATCCCGGCGGTGCCATGGATGTTTGTAGTGGTTCGGAATCCACTTAAGCCGTAGGTCCCGGTCTTCTATGACTGTAAGAGCGTCACGGAGCAAAAGTCAGGCTTCTACCTACGGGTGCTCCATCACAACAGAAACTGCTTCCTTTCCCTTCAATCATGAGTACGTATGGGCTCGTGGGCTTGGCCAGCCAAGTGGGATAAGAAACAACAACAACAACAACATGTAATTATTATATTTTAACTTAATAAATTTTGCAAATTATTGCACTGAATACAATTATAGTTTTGTATTAAAAAATCTTGCTCCAATATTCCTAACATAAAATAAAGGGAATAAAGTATTAATTACTAAAATTTCTAAGAACATTTAATTACAAAAAAAAAAAAAAAAACTATGTGAAGTGTGATAGAACTTTTCATTATTAAGAAAGATATAAAAACAAAAATTTGAGAAACAACGAAATATAAGAGTTCAAGTTTAATTTATTCTTAAATCCATAGAGGCTGACAATATTCAACTCTTAAAAAATTAATGATATTAATAATAAGGTTTTTAATAGGTTAAAAAGTTTTCTCACTGTAAATGAAGAAATATATATATATGTATATACACAAATATTCAATATGAATTTAAATGGCCTAATCTATATCAATGACTAATTTAAGGAAATTTTATTCGTTACATTTTCTATATCTTAGTCCAGAAAAAAATTTTCAGTTTAAAAATAAATTTATTTAATTATTCCATGTTATACGATTCATAAACAAAATCGTGAATTATTAGAAACTTATTGCTTTATATTCACTTTTTATTATATTTGGGATCTCATTATAGTTTTGAAAGATTTAAATATAATAAAATCAAAGATAAGACCAAAAAGAACTGCTCGTTAGCAAGCTGGGATCAAAATAGAACAAGCAAGGCTTTAATGAAAGTTCCTGTCTCTATGCTGGAGTGGACACGACATATCACGAGATAATTCTTCCATTCGATTGGAGGAAGAGGGTGCATACTCCCCAGACTTATTTATTTCTAATGCAGCTGGCACACTATTTAGACAGTTGTCTTTTATGCCATAAGCATGGGCTGCACCGCTGTTACTCATTACTCCCGCTACCCAAGAGGGCACGTGTAACTTGAGTATATGCTACGCTATCCTACAAGAGGGAGGACAGCTTGAATATATGCTACGGACTCGAGTAACGCTACCCCCACAACGCTCTACGATCCTATTAGACCGTGACCTACGGTTTAAAGTGCATTCCGAAACCCTACAAACATCCATGGCACTGCCGAGATTCGAAAAGAAAACTTATGGTACCGAGCGCCTGAGCGCTAGCCACTCAGGCCCCTTACTCCCCAGACTTATGCAATGGATATGAGATTTCTTCATTTTAAATGCCATACTTCTATGTGCTCTTTTTAAAAAATGTGACGGCACAACGTAAAAGGGACTCCATTGCGCATCTCTGTCACGCTGAATTTGCTACATCTCTACTTTTATAATGGCGAATGAAGACAGACCAAAATACCCTGGCATCCGAAAATAACACATAATAACTACAAAGTATATATCACATAATAACTACAAAGTATTACATTTTTAAAAACTCTATATAGATTTAAATAAGCATTATTTTTAATTTGTTAGTCCTATTTTTGTCCTCAAATGCTTCACGTTAAAGAAGTGAAACTCTTTAAATCTCGACTTCAAATATATCCTGCAAACAATAACCATAAAATCCAACTGCATTCCCCAAATCCAGAATCCAATTTGCGCCCCCCCCTTCCATTCACTCCCGGAGAGTTTCTACACGCTTTATATACAACGCCAAAATCCAATTTATATCACCGGAAATCTTAACCGCTGCTCTAACGATCAAACGAAAAGCCTCGTTTCATTGCCATTTCCCTTGCAAGGGCCTTTTTCTTCTGATGCCGCGTGCCTCGCGGTTGCCCCGGCAACGTGCCCGGCTCCTCCCCTACCTCCAATCGACCTCTTTTGGGAAATCAGATGGAAAGAGTTTTAGGTACAGTTGGATTTTGCAATAGCAACAAGTGCGAATTTAGAAAGCAAAATACGTATTTTATACAGTGTTTTTTAATCTGTTGAATTCTAAATTTAACTTTCTGTACATATATATTGAAAATACATTAATACAATTCCTAAAAACCACTCTGACAGTCGAGGGCTCACTGCGGAATTTTTTAACAAATAGATCTGTGTCTGTTGTTCTAATGCAGCTGGCAATACAGACAATTAATCTTTATGCCATAAACAAGGGCTGTACTGCTGTAACTCATTTAGCGCTACCCAGGGGGCACGTGTAGCTTGAAGATATGTTACGGACGCGAGTAACACTACCCCCACAACGCTCTACCATCCTATTAGGACCGGGACCTACGGTTTAAAGTGGATTCCGAACCACTACGAACACCCATGGCACAACTGGGATTCTAATCCAATATCAGTGGTACCGAAAACCAGAGCGCTAGACACTCGCCCACCAGGCCCCCATTTAGATCTGTATCTAGATTGTTTGTTTCTGCCTTTTTTAAACTTTTTTTGAAAAACTGTATAGACTGTATAGAAAGTAGATCTGCAGTTCTTGTAATCAAAGATTTGTAAAGAACCATTTAATTTTTCTCTTACAGTCCTTCGCCGTTAATAAATTACATTTTTATGTGAGGCTGTAATCAACGAAGGCGTCATTGAATATTTTTTTTTTTTCAGTTTCCCCTATCTTAAATTTAAAATCCGTATTTTTTAATTTTGCAATTTTAAAGATAGCCTTAAAAATTGAGAAATGTTATAGTAAAAATAAAACCTTAACAACGCATGTTAAAATGAAATTTTTACTGTTTAGTAAGCAAAGAACACAATTAAATAGGTGCAAGCCATCTACGGATTATATATTTTCTATGGAATGTAAATATAAAATCATGGTAATTGAACGCCTTTGCACTGCTATTAAACCGTATAAATAACGATGCAACCGTGCTTCCTCCTTCACACAAGCAACAGCTTCCCCTGTGTCGTTCAGGAGAAATGGTCAATAGGCCTTGAAACTCTCACCCGAGAGGAAGTACAGAGCAACCTGCTCTTCCTCTGAGAAATGTTTATTGTTTCTCATCCTTAGAGGAAATATATTTAGCGCATCCCGACGCATTATTTGATTTACAGACTCTCACCAGGAGAGGAAGTATATTTTGAGCATACTGCGCGTGTCCGAGTTTCATGTTTACGGCTTAGAAGTGGTGTCCTTCCCTGAATCTGTAATTGTGTGTCTTTAAATGTGTTAAATATTGTATGTTTCTAATTGTATAAGTGTGGTGTCTGTGCGTGTGCAAAAAAAAGCTGTGAGTTCTCAAACCTGGGCATCATGTATATCAGCCCAACCACACCCAGTTACAATGTGGTTGCCAAACCTGCACACTAATAAGACTAATTTTAGTAATTTTCATCATGGAAATCATGGACTATTTAAAAGGAAGTGTTAAACTGGGATTTCTTTTAAACTGTTACTAAGATTCTTGTATTGTAAGGCATCTGTCATTTCTAGAGAATCTACCACACTTCTAATATAACCTGTGAATTTCAAAACAGAAAACTTATTGATTCCTTTTTTTGTACGTAGGAAATAAGAATCCTTCTTTCATAATTATTCTATTATTACTTAATATAACCCCTAAGGGCTGGACATGGATTTATTTTGGATGAATATTCAATAACAAACATTTTTTATTTATTTCTGGAAAGATGATCTTGAATAACAATAAAAAACATTAATATTTCTTTCACAGTTGCGAAATAAATTTTAAAAAAAAAAAACCCTCGAAGCTTGTATCTATAAAATAAATATACCAAACCTCCTGGGATATATCTATTTGTTATTGAACTAAAAAAATATGTATAATGTGTAAAAAATATGAAGCTTATGAATGTAATGTAGTTACATATAGAGTTGTAAAATTTTTCTCTAATGTGTGTTCTATGTGATGCCAAAAAATGCATATTAACATGTTAATCTAATAAAGTGAAAAAAAAAAATTACTTAGCTTACATTTAAAAGATTTCTTAAAAATGGTTTAAAGATCTTAAAGAATAAGAACAAAAACATTCACATGCAATAATTAAAGAAAATTTTTAAAACATAAATCATTTTGGCAATTTCAGACCATGATCAAGTTATGAAAAAGTATAAACAAGTTAATAAATTGAATACATATTTTTTTTATGTACTTGAAAATAACTTTTAAAAAATATGACGTAACCGTGCTTCCACCTACGCACTGCAACAGCGCCCCCTATGGCGTTTAGGAGAAATGGTCAGTAGGCCTCGATACTCTCACCCGAGAGGAAGTACAGCGCAACCGGCGTTGCCGTCGAGAAACATTTAGTTTCCAGTCTCTCATCCCGAGAGAAAATATATTTAGCACAATCCCGTGTATTAATTGGCCTACAGATTTTCACCCGGAGTGGAAGTATATTTCTAGTACCTGAGTATCTTTATTTTCGACTTAGAATTGGAATCCTTCTACGAATCTAGAATTATCTGTCTTTAAATATTCTAAATATTGTACGTGCGTAAATAAAGCTGTGCGTATTCTCAAACCTGTGTCTCAAGTCTCAACCCAACCACATTCAATTACATCCAGCTGCACAACCGACATCACTACAATCTGGCGCCCAACGTGGTGTCCGCCCATACTTGCACACAACATGATCAAGCATGTTTCCGAAAATCACATAAGAATGTTATGAAATCAATTACTTCTTATAAAATTATTTCCATGCATTGATCGCAAATGTTTCTTTATTAATACAATTTAATATATATTAGAAATAAAATTTAACATATATTTTTGCCTTTAATGACAGAGATATGTACCCAAATAGACTTTGATATTGAAGTACAGTTTATTCCAT